TTCTTGCTCTTCTAGACAATTTTAAAAATTATATTAGTATTCTGAATTATAACGAACAAAAACATTTCCTATAAATACTTTCATCCGTTGATGTATCGCCGTCAAATTTTCGTTTTTTAATTAATCTTTTTTGTTTGTTCATCAGTTGTTGGTAATAAATATATTTTCATCGTTTGATGTCAACAGTTCGCTCTACGATTTTCTTGACTTTCTAGCTTGTGCATTACTGTAAGTTTCTGAAATTAATTTTTGGGATAAATATGAAGGTGTACAAAAAAAGTTCTGAGCTTTTTTTTGTAAAAATTCAATCTTTATTCAAAAACAAACAAAAAAAAATATTAATCAGCGAAATATTCCCCGTTTGCATCAACAACCTTTTGCCACCTTTCGGGTAGCTTGCGAATTCTTGACGATAGAAGCTCACCGACTTCGAAGCGATAAAGTCAATGCATTTTCGTATCTCTTCAAATCTCACGAAATGTGTATTAGCCAAATGATGCTGCAGCGACCGGAATAGGTAGTAATCGGAAGGCGCCATGTCTGGACTATACGTCGCGTGCGGAAGAAGTTCCCAGCCTAACGCAAAGATATGATCCTGAGTCGTTTTCGCAACATGTGGTCGAGCATTATCATGAAACAAGATCTTTACGACGTCCTTGGCCAGTAAATGGCCTCTTTTCTTCTAATGCATCGCTCAAATTGGTCAATTGTTGTTGGTAGCGGTCTGCCGTAATTGTTTCACTCGGTTGTAACAACTCGTAATACAACACACCTTTCCAATTCCACCAGATACAGAGCAAAACCTTCTTGCGTAGATATTGGGCTTTGGCGTCGATGTCGAAGGTGGACCAGGGTCAACCCATGATTTTCTACGTTTAGGGTTATCATAAAGAATCCACTTTTCATCGCCTGTAATGATTTTGTGCAGAAAATCTTTTTTCCGGAACTTTGAAAGCAAAGTGAGTGCAGTGTCACACCGACGATTTTTGTTGTCTTCGGAATTCATGCGGAACCATCTGCCTTCCTTCTGAACCTTTCCCATCGTATGTAAACGTACGGAAATGATTTGCTGTGTAACGCCAAGCTGTTCTGCAAGCTCCTTTTCAGTGTGCGCAGAGTTTATATCCAGCAGTGCTTGCAATTTATCCGTTTCAATCTTTTGAGAGCGTCCAGCACGCTTCATCTTCAAGACTGAAATCTCCTTGGCGAAATTTTTGATACCATCTTTTACATGTAGTATGACTTACAATGTTCTCCCCATATGCAACACAAATCATTGCAGTGGCTTCAGCAGCATTTTTCTTCAGATGAAACGCGAAGTGGATAGAAAATCGAATATGCTCTTTTGTTATTGCCATCGTGAACATTACTGATTTTTGAGGTTATGTGCATCAAATGCCAAACCGTATGACATTTTAGAAGGCCAAATGTCAACGCTTTAAAACCGCAAAAGGGCGGGAAGATATATAAAATTTAAATTGTTATTTCGGTT